CCATGTCGACGCACAACAGTACCATATTAGTGTTATTTTTCTAAATATTATCATAAAGGTACTCTGTCTGTATATTTAAGAACCTTTCATCCACACGTGAACTCTGAACAAACGCAGCTGGCAGAAGGGACCTCTGCCGAGGGTGACGAATGCTGTGGGTGGGTGGGGATGGCAGTTGCGCGGCTCCACCTGCCGGGGGAGAGGCGCAGAGCCTGTGTGGGGAGCCTGGGAGGAGAGCGGCCTGCCCCGCTGCCCACGCTGGCTCGGGCTGAACCTTGCTAGCACTGCCCGGAGGCAGGTGAGTCAGCCGTGTCTGGGGCAGCGGGAGCAGCTCCCGTGCCTGCAATATCAGCTCTCTACAGGATGAAGGCGCTACTTCACCCCAACTGCTTTCCTCGTGTTTCACTTCTCAGTTCATTCAGAACTCACTGCAGGGAAATGCAGGGAAAGGGAGTCTTATTTGTTGGGCTCCCTCAAAAACTTAAAAAGGAAAATATGTTTTAATTTTAAATGTGATTTATATTCAATTTCAGCAACGTATCTTCTGAATAAAAGCAAGATACAACTATATGAGTGAATTTAAAATGTCATACATATTTACATATTCATGAGTTAGGAATAAATTGTAACTTCTCAGACTTGAAAACCAGTCACAAAGAACACTGCTGCTGAGAAGGTAGGGATGGGGGTGGGTGAGTTCGTGTCACATGACTGAAACCAGAGGGTAGAAGGTGAGTAAGTGGGAAAAGCCAGCTCAAGCTACTCAGCAGAGAACTTTGACTACCTTTGGTGAAGAAGGACGATCTCTCAGGAAAAAACAACAGAGGTAAGAAAAACTTAAATGTTTCAGGAAAGTAATAAATCTAAACACTCATATAATGAACATTTTTATAAAGGTGTACACCTTTGTGTGTACAGAAATTTGAAAGAGACTTTTTTGGTTAAAGTTTGGTGTCACATAAAAAGCAGTTAGGGCCAGGTGTGGTAACTCATGTTAGTAATCCCAGCACTTTGGGAGGCCAAGGCAGGAGGATCACTTGAGGCCAGGAATTCGAGATCAGCCTGGACAACATAGTGAGATTTTGTCCCTATAAAAATTCTTAAAAAAATTAGCCGAGCATAGTGGTGCATGCCTGTAGTCCTAGTTGCTCAGGAGGCTGAGGCAGGAGGATCACATGAGCCCAGGAGTGAGTTCAGGGTTGCAGTGAGCTATGACTGGGCCACTGCACTTCAGCCTGGGTGCCAGAGTGTGACCCTGTCTCAAAAAAACGCAGTTAGATGCAAAATATTTTATCATAGGAGCCCACTGTAAAACTAAAAAACCTACAAACACAACCTTTGCACAGGGAGCAGATGAGAATGCGCGACCCAGCATGTGATCGGGGAGTACGATCGGGGAGTATGATTAGACCATTATGGGGGATCATTCCTGTTCCTTATTCTTTTCTGTATTTGCATATTTTCTTAAGTGTGGATGAATGTTATAAGAAAAGACGGGTCAATAAATCATCTTTAAAAATAAAAAGAAAGAAAAAATCCACTGCAGAACAACCTGGCAGCACAATCTGACAACCTTGTGGTCCCCGTGTCCAAGTTACAGTAAAATTCGAGGCTCAGAATAAAAGGAATCCCCGCGCCCTTCAGGGACCCAACACTGCTGCCCAGCCCAGGCCCTCACCCTGCCCAGCCCTTACCTTGGTGACCTCCACCCACTGACGGTCGGCGCGTGAATCATGAGTTCCCGGGCACTGAAGCCGTCTTCGTGTCCGGATGAGCTGACAACTACAAATCCAATCTTGTGGGGCATTCTGCACGCTTTGGCTGTTCATAAGAACAGGAAAGAGTTCTTTAAAGTGATCTGCAAACATATTGTAACGTTTGAAGTGTTAGTTCACGCCTTCCTAATATACATAGGAATTCATCAAATATTTGTAATTTTTTCATCACTTTGAAAGAGTCTAGTTTTTTTGTTAAACACTTTTTATAAACATTTCTAATTCTATTTAAGATATCGTTTAAATTATATTAACTTTTCCCAGATATTTGTCCAAAAAGTTTGACCAGTGTTGTGGATTGAATTGTGACCTCCCAGAAGATATGCTGACGTCCTACCTGTGGCATCTGTGAATGTGACCTTATTTGAAAATAGGGTCTTTGCAGTCGTAATCTAGTTCAACTGAGG